GCCCGAGCCCAGCCGACGCCCGCGTGAATCACCGCCCGGGCCGGGCCGCGCAGGGCGGGAGGGGGAGGCACGGGGGGCCCCCGGCAGCGACTTCCTGCTGCCGCGGGCGGGGGACACCGACCCCCTCCGACCGGGGATGCGCGGGGGAAACTGAGGCCTGGGAGGGCGCGCGCGGGCGCCGCGGCACGCGGGGCGGGGGCGCGTTGCTCGATCCGCGGCCCGAGGGTCCTCCCCCGGCTCCCCCCACCTCCAGGGGGCCTCCGAGAGATAGGGCCGCTGCAGCCCCCAGCCCGTCCTACAAAACTTTGTGGGGACCGGGGATGGGCCCGCCTGGGAAAGGGTCCTCACACACACTCCCGGGACCCCGCGGCTCTTACCGACCAGCACGCACAGCACGTCGAGCAGCACGAAGACCCACCTCCGCTCCATGCCGCCCGCGACCCCCAGCGCCCGTCCCAGCGCGTCCCGTCGCGTCCCAGACGGGCCGCGGGGTCACATGGCCGGGAAGCCTGGCCCAACCCGGGAGGGGCGGGCAGGGCAGGGGAGCAGAGGGCGGGGCGGAGCCTCCGAGGGGAGGGGGCGGACTCTGCCTCCGCCCCGCCCGATGCGCGCGGGGAGGAGGGGCGTGGGGAGAGCGCGGGGATGGCGGGGCAACAGTGTCGGTACGAGGCCCGCGGCTGCAGGGGCCGCGGGTCTCCGAGCTGGGGGAGGGGGAGAGGGGTCGTCGGTGCCCAGCCCTTCCGCCGCCCCGCGCCGGGAGGCTGAGGCTCAGGGGCGGCTAGTCCGGCGTCACCCCAGAGCGTCCGCGTCCGGCCGCACGCCTCGGTCACCCACGGATTGGGTCGGCTGAGTCGAGGGTCGGGAGAAGAAACGAACAAACGAAGGAATGAGTGAGGGGTGAACGGACAGGCCAGCAGGAAGGGGTGTGGAGGAGGACGGAGCTCGGGCTCCCGCAGGCTGCGCCTCGGTTTCCTCTTTGGGGCACTGAGCTCCTGTGTGCCTGTCTGAATATGTCTGAATCAGGAAGTGCCTACAAATAGATGGGGGGTGTCACGGCTTAACTGCAGGGGTATTTTTCTTTCCTCCTGATGCTTAAAATCCTTGCAGCCCTTCCATCCCTGGCATGGGAAAGAAAGTTCCTCAACACCCACCCTGTTTGTGCCAGGCCCTTCTCCTGGGTGGCACACTTCCTACCCCCTTTTACAGGGAGCAAATCGTGCGGGCGGTAGGAACTTGCCCTCACGCTAGGAAGGGTAGGGTTAGGGTCTGTGCCCTGCACGCCCACCGGGTCCGGAGGCAGCCCTGGGCTGGGAGGCGCAGGAGGTCCACACACGCACACGGGATCCTTGGGGCTGGAACCAAATGAGAGGCCTCGGGGAGTGTCACCACCTCCTGGAGAGCCCTGCCTGGACCTGGCGAGACACGAGGGAGGTTCTGCCACTCTCTCAAGGTCACACAGTGGCAAGAGGCAGGGCTGGGCTTTGAACCCAGGCAGACTGGCCCCAGCCCCACCCCCAAACCACGTTCACCGGCCCACCCCCTCCAACAATCTTAAAACAGAAAGATGTTTCCCGGCTTTATTTTAGAGATGAAGGAAGCCACTTCTAGAGAAGGGCATCCCCTGGCCCAAGGTCAAGCTGCTGAGACGTGAACTCAGAATCCCTGACCCTGCTTCCTGGGAGGATGAACAGCCGCCTGCACCGTGGGGGGAGTGAGGGTTGGGAGCCAGGGTGTTGGGGTGGGGGGGTGGGGGCGACAATGCACAGCTGATCTGTGGCTCCTCCACCATTGCCCAGACGGTGGGGTTGAGGGGGGTGTCTCTGGGCCGAGGCCCCTGAACTCTGGAACAACTTTCCCTAAGCAGGCCATCAGACACCGCCCCCAACACACACACACACTCAAAATAACTCAGCCCACCCCCAGGACATAACAAGGTTCTGCATGGAAGCTGCTGGACCTGGATTTTCTGCCTGCGGCGTGGCGGAGACAGTGCGGGAAGCACATCCCAGCAGCCCCCCCTTTCCAGCCGCACACCCTGAGGAGTTGGGAAGGCACATCCTAAAAATGCAGCTTCCTCCCTCAGCCCCAGACTTCCTCCAAGGCGGCCAGAAGAATCAGATTACTTGCCCGGAAGATTTTTTTCTGTCTGAGCAGGGGTGGGGCTGTCGCCAGGGACCAGTTTCAGGCTCAGGGGGATGCAGCAGCCCTGGACTCCTTCCTGCCAGCGTGGCCCCGCCCCGGGAAGGCTCCGGCTCTGTCCCCTGGGTCCTCCCGCTGTAATCACAGGGAGGGGTGGGCCCTGTCATTCTTTCATCCCTTCATTCATTCATGCAACGGAATTATACGTGTGAAGGTACCTGGCATACATGTTACGTGACTGTGAGCCGGCGTCATTATCATGGCACTTTCTTCACTTTAGCCTTGTGGCAATCGAGTGACTACTCCTCTCTGTGAGGTCTTGACACTTTCAGTTTAGGTAGAGAAGGTACAACATGATACTGGCATCAATGAAATGCGGGCTTCTTTATTAAGCATCTACTGAGTGCCGGGTGGGGCCAGCCAAAGAGGAGTGTGGTGGGGCCCGGCCAGGGTGGAGACCGCGGGGTTGAACCCCAGAGGCTCCAGGGGAGGCTCCCGCGGGCAGAGACTGGGTGGGAAGGAGCATGGCCTGTTCCTGACGAGCCAGGAGACCAAGTGGCTGAAGGGAGACCATGCGGCTGGAGCAGATGTGGCCACCCTCCCCTCCCTGATGACCTGTCTCACCCTGCCCTTAAAATACCTGGGCGGGATCAAGGTCAAAATGTGGTGAGGGCAGCAAGGATCAGGATGAGGGGTTAAAACTAGGGCTAGCTGGGGAATCCCCCAGCACCAGCAAGGCCCGCCCCACGGGGAGCCGGGCTCGGCGGCATGATGTAACCGAGCCCCTAGCTGGGGCCCGAGAGCCTCACCTGTGTCTCCTGGAGACCGGGCCTCCCCTTGTGCCTGGCGGTCACCGCTGCCCTGCTGCCGCCCCCCACCTGAGGGGCCCAGGCTTGTCTCAAGGAAGAGGTGCTGGGCGTGGGCAGAAAGGTGCTGGCACACAGTAGGTGCCCCCTGAGTGCAGCCTGCAGCCCCGCCTCTCTCTACACTTCTCGTGGGGCTCAGGCCACCCTGGAGTCAGCTCCTTGACACGGGCCTCCATCCCTGCTGAGGGTCCTGGAGCCCAGGCTGTACCCCAGGTGGCTGTGCCGGGCACGTCCAGGCAAGGAAGGCTAAGCGGGCAGTCGGCGCCTCAGTCTCTCCATCTGCACGATGGGCACAGGCCAGCGCCCGCCCTGGGGTCATAGTGAAGTGCCTGGCCAGTGGCCTGCCCCGCTAGGAAGCACTAGACAAAATGGTGGAGGTGGGCACCTAAGGTGGGCTTCCGTCACAACCCAGCGTCAATTCACCCGGAATCCCAGAACCGCGGTTGCGCCCACGACCCCGCCACCCCTCAAGGGCACACCACCTTCCGCTCGCGGACAGGGTGACCTTCCCGGTTTAGCACTGAGTCCCCATTCGGGAGCCTGTCCCAGTGACGTTGCCCCTCGTGCAGGCCACCCCGACCTCACGGTGCCCTCCCCACCCGTCCTGTGCTCTCAGACTGTATCTGCCGACCCCCAGGCTTGAGCCCCAGGAGGCAGGACAGCACAGACCCGGCGCTCAGTCACTGCTTCTGAATGAGGGTGAGCCCATGAGCAACGAACAGCCCAGGGGCCAGAGCCCGAACTCTCGCAGGATCACAGCCGTGCAAGACCGTCACAGAGCCGTCTTCACGAGACCTGGTCTCCACCTGCTTCTCAAGAAACGAGGGAAGACAGGGCAGGTCACACCATCGAGCATGCTGTCAAGCTCCCACCGCACCCCTCCGTCCCTGCCCGCAAAGCCACGGGCCCGGGTCCTTCAGGCAGGTTATGACTGACGAGGAAAAGTGACACGGGCGGCGCAGGAGGAGTCCTCCAAACCTCAGAGGCCAAGAACCCCCTGTCCGTGACCCCACCACTGTCCTGTGTGTCGCCCAGTAGGGACAGCCCACCGGAGCAGGGGCTGAGTTCACTTCCCAAGTGCTCACCATGGAGCTCGATCCCAAGTCTCCTCTGAGCAAGGGCTGCGGCTCCAACTACGGGGGGCGGGGGCTGTGTGAGCAGGCATCGGACCCCCGCAGACGCCTCCACACTCCGGCTCTGGAGCCACCACTGCCCACCCTCCAATTCTGCTTCGGGGGGGAGGGTTACTCCAGGGGCTGGCTTGGCCAAGCCCCACCCACTGGACCCCCGAGACAGGGAGGCACTACAGGCTCCAGTCAGCCCCCAGACTGGTGGGACGGGAGCGGACTCTGCTGGACAAAGCCACAGCCCAGCCCCGACCTCTGGACATTCACCGGGCATCCGACGTGCCAGGCGCCCAGGCTCCATATCCGTACAGCAGCCCAGCAATAGGGCTGCCAGTTTCAACGAGGACACGCACAGGACCCCGTTAAATTTGAATCCCAGATAAGCGACAAATCACTTGTTACCATAAGTATGTGCCAAATGTTATATGGGATATACTTACACCGAAATATCTGTCTACCTGTGATTCAAATCTAACTGGGTGCCCAGTATTTCATCTGGCAGCCCCATCCCAGAACCACAAACCAGGAAAACAAGAACTGTGGGGACAGAAGCGTTGGCTAAACAGTGGGGTCGGGTCTGGACAGCCCAGTCCCACTCCAGAGCCCAGGGTCCTGGGCCAAGGAGGCCGAGGCCCCAGCCCAGGACTGTCAGCTTGGGCCACCTCCTCCGCCCCCCTCCCAACCCCGGGAGCTGCCTGTGGGTCCAGCCTCCAGTGTGGCCCTGGCTCATGCCAGCCTCCTTCAGCAGAGGGGCTGGAATCAGGGTCACCTGATTCCAGGCCATGGAATCCTGGCATGTCCCCTGGGAAGGCCCCTCAAACCAAGCGCCCGGTATGGTTAGAACATAGGTCACAGAAGAGCTCTACTCCCCGCTGTGTAGAATGGAGAAAACCCTGGACAACCTGGAAAGCAGTAACAGTAAAAGTACAACGACGCTTCTCTTTGTAAGAAGCCCATCCCAGAGGCTGTGCAGGTGTCCCCTACCACCGGGGATGGAACAGGGGACCTGGGTGTGGTGCGGTGCAGCTGGCGACTCTGCCCTCGGGTCTGGGATGGAAACGAGTGGACCTGCAGGCAGGCAGGGCCTGGCTCACCACCAAGACCCCTGAACCAGAGGTGGACGGCACGTCGCCTCCCGCTCCATTTTCAGGGCCTCTTTGTACACGACGTCCAGCGATGACGAACAGTACGGAAGGTTCCTCCTGGTCAGCAGACAATGCCCCTGAGGGGAGCGACGGTCACTCTGCACCAGCTCAGGAGCCTCGGAGGCCCCTGTTACCTTGCAAGCAGATTTCCAGTCCCCGGGCCTAGAGGGACAGCCTCTCCCGTGGGCCCAGCTGCCACCCTTCCTGCCCACGTGCTCTGTGCTCCTGTCACTCCCCCCAACCCGGAACGCCGGCCCCTCCCTGGGAGGCCTGTCCGACCACATGAGGGGAGGAGGTGGCCCCCGCCCAGCCAATCTGAAGACCCCTCCTGCCACAGGGAGGCCGGGCAGGGCACTGGCAAGATCTGAGCCGACACTAAGCAAGAGACTCCTTTAAAATAACCACAAGAATGGGAGACGCTGTGACCCATAACCATGGGAAAACAGTTAAGAGACGTGTGTCCAGGAATAGCCCAGATGGTGAACTATCCCAAGGTTTAAAGTAAAAAGGATAAAGAATGTACAAGAAAATATTGGAGAATTTCAGCAAAAATACAGAAAAAAACAACTGCAAATACTAGAATCAAAGTATACAGCGTAGGCGTCACAGACGCAGCGGGACGGGCCAGGTGGCAGCCTGGAGCAGTGGAAGGAGGGATAGGGAGCAAGGACGGGTCCAGACTCACAAGGAGCACAGGACGACACATGCAGAGTCTGCAGACGACGACAGGGGTCTGCTGAGTAACCAGGGACCCAGAAGCAGAGTCCAGAAGGGGCAGCAGAAACACCTGACACATGACAGCCAGGAAGCCCCCCCAGTGATGAAAGGCATCAACCCTCAGGTCCAAGGAGCTCCATGTATGAAACACCGGGCGCAACACATCCAAACATACAGAGAAAATCACGGTAGGAAAAAAAAGACATCGTATTTAGGGAACACAAGTGAAAATGCCAAATTTCTCGTCAGAAACAAGAGAACCCAGGAATAAATGGAACATCTTAAAAATGCCGAAAGAAAAAAAGGAAACCTAGAATCTTATACCAAGCTAAAAAGAAAAACTGTGCTTGAAAAACCAAGGAGGGGTACGGACATTTTCAGCTAACGAGCGCCGAGAGCACACTGCGCAGACTCACTTCCTGCCTCAGGAGGGTGAGCCTGCCTTTGGGGGCCGTGGGAAGCACCTCTTGGGACGGTCCCGACAGCCCCAAGCGCTGCAGGGCCGGGCAGCCTCAGGCAGGGGCGCACGGAGGGGCAGCCACCCTGGAGGTTCTCACAAAAGCACAAGGGAACCGCCACGCGGTCCAGCTCCTGGGTATTCACCAAACACACACCCGCACACGGGGGCTTATGGGCGCTGCGTCCACCGCCGCCACACCGGGGACACCGAGTTGCCCTCGGGCAGGCGAGCGGAACAACGCCACAGTCCATTCCAGAAAACACACGTTCAGCACGAAGAAGTGAAAAACGAAGCCACCAACAGCCACGGAGGAACCTTAAACGCACAGAGCCAGGCAAGAAGCCAGCCTGGAAAGGGCACTTACTGAGAGAGGAGGAAACCAGAGGACAGCAAACACCACCTCTGAAGCACTGAAAGCGTGAACAGGCCGAAATCTCCATCACAACCATTCCAATCCCTCCCATCCCACCCAAATGCCCCGGGCTCCCACGCTGGCACAGCCAGCTCTGCCGGGACTGACCCCCGACTGCACACACCCAGCACGACTGGCCCCCGAGCCTCCTCTACTCGGCCTCCCTCCCCATCCAGGCGGCCCTCACCCCACCCGTCCAGTCTCCACAGGGGCCCCTGCCCCACACGTGTGAGGCCCCAGCCTCGCGCTCACAGGCAGGCCTGTCCCCGTCAGGGTCCAGCTTGAAAGTCACCTCCACTTGCGTGGTCACCTCCCTCGCACCGTGACTGAGACACAGAGCATGCTCCCCCACGACCCCCGTGCCCGCAGGTCCCTGGATGGGGCCCAGCATGGGGTCCACCGAGGGACCAGCACCTCCTCGCGTCCCACCCACCTGACCCACCACGAGGCACCCACGGGGCTTCAAATCAAGTTTAATAAATAAAACAGCAAGGGGATCAAGGCAGTTGTCACTTCACAGTGTGGTCCTTGGTGGGCCGAGGGAAGGTCGAGTCCGGCCCTGCGGACGGGCTCGAGCCAAAGCCCCCCCCTTGGTGACACCGGGGCCGGGAGCGCTGCCCTGCCCCTGGAGGACCCCACTCCGATTTGTAAACAGAAACATAAATAAAACGAGGAGGCTAGAGAGAAGGCCCAGGACCCCAAGCCATCTTGCTGGGAAGCCTCAACAGAAACACGACCTAGGGCATCAGGGAAACGGGCTGGAGCCGGGCCCCTCAGTGCGGCAGGCGACAGGCCTCGGTACCAAGGGGCTGTGAATTCTGCGTCCTCAGACCCACGCCCGAGGCTGCCGGGGGCCCCGGGGTGGAGGTGGGGGTGGGGTGGGGGCATAAAGTGCGGCTTTTCCTGAAGTGGAGAGAGCGGGTGGACGTCAGGGCGGGGCGGGCCGACATCGAGGTATATGGCTCTGTGCCCCACAGGGTTTGGCACCGAGTAGCAGCTGCCCCCTGAGCCGTGGGCGGGGGCAGCCCGAAGTCTGGCCAGGCGCAGGGAGACGGGCGAGCAGAGTGCCGAGGGTGCCGGCGGAGGCTGCTGCTGGTAGGGGCGGCATCCGGCCCCACCTCCCCACGTCCCTGGTGGGGCCGGGACGCCTTCCTCGCCTCTGCTGGCTGGCTGGGCCAGCCCTCCGCGCCCAGCCTGACGGGTCCCGTGGTGGGCGCAGAGGCTGGAGCCAGGCAGCAGTGCTGGTGCGTGTGTGGCACGGGGAGGGGCCACCGCTCAGCCCGGTCCTTGACGTGCTCTGAGCAGAGGAGCTACCGGAGGCCCGCGAGGAGGGGAGGGTCAGGAAGACTGACAGGCAGGCCTCACGGCGGCCCCCAAGTCCAATCTGGGCCACACACGCCCGCCTGTGGCCAGGGATCAACAGGTCATCACGTTACAGCTGCAGGGGGAGAGAGGCAGAGACAGGAGGTCAGTGCAACCCCAGAGCAAGAGGCCCCGCACGGTGGTGGTGGGGGGTGGTGGTGGTGGCGTGGGCGGGATGCGGGCTGGACCGTCGCCCCGCCCCCGCCTCACCGGGCAGACGCCGCCCCGACAGCCCGCACAGCTGCCAGGCCTCCCCCTCTCGAGGCAGCACTGTCCTCGGCCGCCTGGGGAGGGCTGGGAGGGCTGGCAGCTCGGCAGGGCCAGGAGGAACCTGGCACTGGCCCCGTTTGTACCTTCTTGGATTTTGAGCCACATGAATGTGTTACCTAGCCAGGAAGATAAATGAACCAAGTAAAAAACAGAATAAAGCTGAAGAAACCACCAGCCTGCTCTGAGGGGCCACGCCAACCTCGGGCCCCGGGGGCAACCCCTCCCGCTGGCCTCAGCTTGGCCTGAGGCTGGGGTACAGCAGCTTGGGGTGGGGGGGGTGGGGCCGCACTCACTGTGACAGGGGCTCCGAGTGCAGCGCAGGGGCCGGGCACGTGGGGTGCGCGGCCAGGAAGGGATTCACATCCCCGATGCCGATGAGCCCAAACTCGGCAACCGACAAAGCCACCTGTGCGGGGGCCACGGCCTCCTCGGGCTCTCCGTCCATATCCACGTGGCTGGAGATGAGGGGCAGCTCCTCAGGGAGGGCCCTGGGCAGGGCCAAGTCCACAGCCAGCCTCGGGCTGGCACCGGGCTCTGGAGCGGCCGTGGTCGGGGAGTAGAAGGCCTGCTCAGCCAGGGCTGGGGGCCGCCGAGGCAGGGGCATGGCCGGGGGCGCGTCTATGTCCGGTGGCTGGAACGAACAGGGCCCTGGCTCCGAGGACGGGGGGCCGTCGGGGGCCTCCCCGGGTGCGCCGAGACTCCCAGACGTGCTGCTGCCCATGCTCAGGGGCTCTGTGGGGGAAGAACACGGCTGTGGCCAGGCCCCGACAATGCCCACACCCAGCTCCACCGGGTCAAGGGCAACCCGGTAAGGCCTGCTCGCCCAAAAGCCACGGTCACCTCAGGCTGTGCCCGGTGCGGGGCTCCAACCTGCCGGGTCCAGCAAAGCCAAGGACCCCTCCTCACAAAACGCTCTCACACGAACACGTAAGAGACACAGGGATGCAGAGAAGCCCTGTCACACCAGAAGGGCACACTGAGGCTAAGAACCCCGCCTGGGAAGGTCGTGACCCCCATCTTCTAGGGCAGGACAGGAGGCAGCAGTTCACAGAGTGAGAGGGGCGTGGACTCGAGGAGCTCCCGCACACGGCCGTGGGGCCAGGCACGCAGACAACCCCCCGGGCACACCACAGACCCAATTGGACCCTGGAACCAGAACAGGGGAAGCCCCAGCGTCCAGCAGACCCACAAAGCAGCATCCTTGTCCCCTGAGGTCCCCTTCAGAAACTGCAGTCGCCACCTGGGCTCTGTCCTGCTCCCGCACGGCCCTGGGCCCAGAAACCAAAGGGGGTGCGACACCCCCTGGGCTCCCACCTGGACAGCAGAGTAGCCCCACTTGGGCCCCAGGCCGCACAGCGTACCCCCATGTGGAGATCCAAGTCCCGAGGATGACTCGTGTGTGACACCCTGTGAGACCATGTGGGGGTGAAGGGACATTGGCCCCCGGATGCCACTCGCTCCTCCGTGTCCACGAGCCCAGGCTGGGCTGCCGGGGAGAAACGCCCCCAAGCAAAGGGGCCACCCCCCACTCACCGGTGCGCATCCGGGCCAGGGAGTCCCGCTCAGGGCCCGGGCCGTCGGCAGTGGCGGGCAGAGGCAGGGGCGGCGAGGAGCGGGGGCGGCCGGGGCCATCGGGGTCACCGCCGTCCAGGTCCTGGTCCGCGTCCCTGCAGGGAGAGGAAAGGTGAGGGCAGGGCTGCCTCAGGCCAGGGCGCCCCCCGCCGGCCCGCGGGCTCCCGGCACGTACGTGGCTCCCGATGGGCCGTACTTCCGGCGGCCCAGCCGCGTCTGCTGCGAGAAGTAGTCGTAGCGCGCAGACTTCTTCCACAGGTAGTAATACTCCACGCACTCGCCCACGGACCGCGTGCGCACCTGCGGGCGGGGCCGCTCAGCCTGGCCCCCCGCCCCTTCCCGGCCTGCTGCCCACTGCCCCGTGCCCTCAGCTCAGCACCCCAGCTCACGGCCCCCGCTCTGTGCCCGGCCTTGGCTCCAGGCCCACCGTCCGCCTCCCTCGCCCCAGATGCCCCGAGGACGGCCGCACCCACGTGCGCTCTGTTCCTCACGGGCCCGGCGGAGGGGGGCGGACAACCCCAGCCCAGAGAGCACGCGGTGCGAGCCCACTTCTCGCTGAGCGTGGGCCGTCACTGGCGCTCCAGGGAGAGCCGTCTGCACGAGGGCACGCCGGGTGCGTGAGCCAACTTGAGGGCATGTTTATAACGCAGCACGAAAAGCCAGGCCTGCATCCTGGAAGGCCAAGGTGGCCCCGCGGGCTCGTGTCCAGGGTGAGCGATCGGGGCGTCTTCCCATCTCGGAGGATCACCCGCAGCAAGGCCAGGGCTGCGCCCGCAGCTGACAACCCCACCACCGCGGAACCCAGCCCCCGCGCCCGGGGAGGGCTGAGACAAGCAGGCGCAGGGGCACCCAGGGACTGCCTGATCTTCTCACCAAAACCCCCTCGTGCAACAAGCCTCCCCGAGGCCAGCTTCACGGCAGACCTGAGACTCTGGTGGGAGAGAGGCCACCAGCCCTAAACTGGGAGGGGGAGCGTGCGGCAGACGGCAGGTCAGGACACAAAGGCAGCAGCCCAGCGGGTTCTGGGGCAGAAGCGGCCTCCGCTATGGGACAGGCGAGTCGGGAGCCGCGGGTGCCAGTTCCAGAGGACCAAGTGCTGCCTGGCCGTGCCGGATTTGGTCAGGGGGGCACCATCCCTGACCTACAGAGCCCCGCGAGGGCCCCTCACCCGCTGCAACCTCCCAGGGAAGACGCCCAGACGGCAAGCGTGAGCCCGGTGCCGGCCAGGCCCTGCTCCTCCACCTGTGGGGAGTGGGAGTGGCCAGGGCTGCCGGCCTCAGGGGAGCAAGACAAGACAGGGACGAGGGGCCGGTGTGGGAGCCGCTGTGACGGTGCAGAGGGACAGCCAGGTTCCCAGATGAGCCATGGGCGCCTGGCCAAGCAGACGTCCAGGGCTGGGGGCAGAGGGCCGGGGCAGCAACAGAGGTCAGCGTGGGAGTTGTTACAAGGGAGCCACAGGCAGGGAGCACACAAGCGGGGTGTGGGGAGACCAGTGACCCAGGCCTGGTGTTAGGGACACGGGCCTGGGGAGGACGGGGACATGCATGTGGAGACGGGCATGGGGACCTGGCATTAGCAGCCACTTCGGTCATGCCTATTTGGTGCAATGGTGGGAGAGCGTGTGTCCCTGGATGGAGTGAACATGGAGACCCTCAGTCCCCACGGCAAGGGGGTGATGGGGGAGATCCAGGCAGGTGTCAGCGCTGGGGGACCGGCAGTGGGCACGAGACCCTTCCCCAGATTGGAACCTTTCCGGGGGATGGGGGAACTAGAGGAAGATGAGCCGGGGAGCCCACCACGAGCCTGGGGTTCGTTCTGACTCCCGCTGCAGGTGGACAACAACTGTGCCGGCTGCCAAGCCCTCCAGCCCCAGAGCAGCCCCCAGCGGGCCAGGAGGCGCGGCGGGCAGGCGGGCAGGCGGGCAGGCGGGCAGGGCCTCACCTTGTTGGCCTGGATCAGGTGGAAGTTCTTGCCGTGCACACGGAAGCCGTGCTCGAAGTTGCGGCACTCCTCCTCGCTCCAGGCGCACAGCCCGTCTGCAAAGGTTGGAGCAGTGGGCGGTGGGGGGGAGGCGGGGGCGAGTTGGTCAGCGCGGTCCGTGGCGGGGGTG